CGAGGATGGGGCCGAACCCGCGGGGCTGAGCTGCTGGCACCGTGTGCCCAGTGCAGCTGCAAACCACAGCCCTGCGTCCTGTGGGGTGAAGAGCTGCAAATTTGTTTCCTGTGAGCTGAAAGGGGAAACACAGAGGGACTGGGCGCAACCCCACGGTGCTGCTCTCCATCCCTGATATCACCTGAAACATCAAACACAGCTTTCAGCCTGTACCTGTTTCTGGTACAGGGTTGAGAGAGTCAAGGTCAGGACTCTTGACATGGGCTGACTTTGTGGTGAGTGCAGGGCTCCAACTGGGCGCTGCTGCAGCCCACAAAGTTTCTCTGCATCTTTCTCACAGACCCCTTGAAGCACTGAAAGGCCACTAGAAGGTCTCCCCAGCTGGAGCCTTCTCCTCTCCAGGCTGCCCAAGCCCAACTCTCAGCCTTTCTCCAACAGCAGAGGAGTTCTAACGAGAAATGACCAGCCCTTTGCTGCCCCTGCCCACACAGTGAAATCCTGCCAGTGCTCTTGGAGGCACTCCTCTGCCCACTCCACCCCGTGGACACTTTGTCACAGCCACCACATCCCACCACCTCCCTTGGCCCCTCTCTTGCTGGCACAGAGTGCAGGCACCACTCGGGGAAGAAATTGCTCGATGGTTCATCTGACGGTGCCGTTACCCTTTCATCTTTCCAGAGGTGCTTTCTGTGGCCCGTTAGCTGTTTCCGATGGAGGAGGATGGCTCCTTTCATCAGCTCAAGCCTTTGGGGAGAAGGTCCATGGTGGTGGCAATTGCCCGGGGGCTTTTGGAATTAAGGCAGGGTCAGAGCCCTCCTGGACCACGGCCACCCTGCCCACTCTGCACCAGTCCTGGGGGAGCTCCTGTGTTAAATCTCCCTTTCACACCCACCTGCCGTCGTTCTGCGGGGCCTGGGGTGACACGACCCGTGCACACCAATGGTCAACATTTTGCAGACGTGCAAAGTTACCGGTGAACCTGAGGGATGCCCAGGAGATTGGCACAGCCCAGGGGGATGCCAAGAGTGGGAGCTCAGCTCTGGGGCACTGGCTGGTTGTGATCAGGGGCAGCCTCATCCAGGCAACGATGGACATGGCCTCTTTGTGCCAAAGGAACTGGGGCAGCTGGGAGCTTCCAGATCACCTCCCGAGTCCTTTTTGATGATATAAAGCCCATACTCTGTGAACAAGTCACCCTCTGGCACATGGCAGGCTGAAGGGCACAGGAGAACCCCCCGTGCTCAGTGCTGGAGCCCGGCGCTCCTCGGTCACAGCAACGTGCCAGGACTCCATGTGCATATTGGAGTGGGATGGAAAACCCTCCAAAAAGGTCTCAGGGAAGGAAGGGACCAGGAAGAAAGGGATGGTATCTTTCTGAGGTTGGTCAAAACACCGCAGTAATTTAGCGGAAAGTATTTTTCTGCCGTAATCTCGTTCTCATCCTGTGCCAGGTTTTTCTTGATGTGTTGAAGAAACGCAGTGAGTGTGGGAGGTGTGAACTAACGCTACTGCACTGGTGAGGTGGTGACAACCAGAGCTCTCACCATGATGCTCGTCAGGCTCCACGTTCAACAGGGGTTTGAGCAAGTACAGTGGAAAAAAAGGGACATAACTGGTTTTTTAAGAAAAAACCCAAACCAAAGAGCTGTGAGACAACCTCGTCAGCAAGTGCTATTTAAGAACACAGACATTCGCCTCCTCTCTCCTGGGGCAAGTGTTAACCTTTAAACGCAGCCTTTCTGCTCCCTTCCCTTTCACTTACGTTTTCTCTTCCACCTGCTCCTCACTTGCCCAACTCACTCGTGTTTCCCCGTCGAGAGCCCACGGCTGTGCCAGGATGCACCACACCAAGAGCTGCTCCGTCCCCATTGCCACCACCCCATCCCCACCCTGCTCTGGCCTTTGAGGCAGCAGCTGCTCTTCTTTGGCAGAACGTTTCCCAGTGGCAAAACCTCCCTGTGATTTGCACGCAGACGGGACTTGGACATAACCCTCATTTCTTCTCAGTCCTGGGCCAGCTCTCCCGGGCTGGTGGCTAGAGCTGAACCTCCTCAGCGCTCATGCAAACGGGGAGCTGGCCATGAGCATGGACTTGGACTGTGCTGCAGATTCCTGCCCCATTATTATAGGCTCTTGTAAGCACAGAGATACCTCCCTGCATCTCATCCAAGTATTGTGGTCCAGAGGAAATTAGTATGTCTTTGCCCAGTCTGCAACAATTTGAGGAAAAGCAGGATGAGGCTGAACTGCAAGAGTAGGTCCTCTGGCTGTGCCTCATCCTGCATCTGAGAAGTTCCTTCAGGCCAGAAAGGTTCATGGTAGTTTGGGTT